AGAAGAAAACACTCATCCTGGAAGAGAGCCATAACCTCAGATCACCACAGCACCCAGCCCTGCTCTCCCATCTGTACTGGTCACACTGGTGAGCCACCACTGCACCCTCCACACCTGATCTCAGCTGAGGAGGTACTACAGGCAACACCTGAGACACAATGTGGGTGTTTGTTTGTGCTTTCACCCTCTGCTGCCACCAAGTTACGCCTCAAAGCACAAGATTTGATCACACAGAGTATAAAGTATAAACACTGAGAGGAGAAAAAAAAATACTTCAAAGGATTGTTCTGGTCATGACACAAAATAACATTCCCACTCATGCCCAACCACATGGAGTCAGAGCTAAGGAAAACAAGCAGAAATGTATTTATTTTGAAAAAAAATTTTTTCTCTTCTACCACTACCACAAATCCCCTCCTCCTTTTTCTCTCAAAGAAAGTAAAAATTATCCCCAGACTGGGGTGACTCTGCTGTAGATTTAACATTAAACAAGTTATAAAATCATACATGAAGATGAGGGAAGGAAGTTGGATCAGGAATCTTCCTGAAGCAAACAAGAGGAGCAGATTGTTTTATTGATAAAGAAAATAACCAAAATGTGGAAGGCACAAAAAGGCATTAAAATGGACAAGGAAACTGCCTACAACAACTGTGAGTAAAGCATGAGACAACTGGATAAAATCACTACAAGACCACTCACCTCCTGCTCTGTGAACAATATATCAGTGTAGCAGAGCTGCAAAGGCAAAACAAAAATCAGAGTCTCACATTTTGGTACCAGACACTCAGTTTGAAGCAGGACACGATAACTCTGGCACATCACTAAGGTGACAAGTAAGGGACAGAAGCAGAACTAGGACTGAGCTCTGGCTTCCCAATCCTACATTCCAGCCACTGAAGCACCCTGTCCCCATGCACAGTCCCCCTCCTCAGGGTGCAGAAGCCACCCCGTGTCCCCAGGGTGGGAGTGCCCAGCAGCTCACTCACGTCCTGGTCGTCGCGCTTCCGGATCTCCGGGTGCGTCTGCTCGATCAGGCAGTCAACAAAACACGTCTGGAAGAGAGCACAGAAAGGAGCTGCCTCCTTCAGACACACACAAACACAGCCCCATCCCTCCAGCAGCAGCACAGCACGCTGAGCAGGGTATTGTAAAACCTACAAATTCAACCCACAAAAATATCTACACATTTCACAGGGAAACCTGGTGCCAGGACAAGGGGGAATGGCCTCAAGCTGGAGGGCAGGGTTAAGGGGGATAGTGGGAAGGAATTCCTCTCTGTGAGGGTGGGCAGGCCCTGGCACAGGGTGCCCAGAGCAGCTGTGGCTGCCTCTGGATCCCTGGCAGTGCCCAAGGCCAGGCTGGATGGGGCTGGAGCAGCCTGGGACAGTGGGAGGTGTCCCTGCCATGGCAGGGCTGGCACTGGATGGGCTTTAGGGTCCCTTCCAAGCCAATCCATCCTTGGATTCTGTAAATAAGTGCATGAGCAGGAGGAGCAGAAGGTGCTGCTGCAGAGAACCAGGGCCAGGAGGGCTGGCAGAGCAGGTCACCACCCCCAGCCCTGCCTTGTGGACATGGAGAGCACCTTGCCGTGGTGCAGGTGCCCACACAGAGTCACGTTCCGGATCAGCTCCGAGTTGTCCATCAGATCTGCCAGGAAACTGCAGGAACAAAACACAAAAGGCTGTTGGAGGCTTCTGCTGTGTCTAAGAAAAGTAGGTGCTGCTTTTCAGCTACACTTTCAATCCAAGGTGCCCCCTGAATCTTTGCCAAACTTTTATCCTGGCAGTGCCCTGCGGAGGAAGAATCCCACTTTCCAGATGGGGAGGACAAGAGAGTTGGAGTCCCAGACAGATGGCAGTGGGTGGGAGGATACAGAGCTGGTAAAGCTGCCAGCAATTGAATATTATTGAATATTTTTCTTCTCTTCTAGTCAGTACTGGAGCAAAAATCACATCCATGGACTCAGATGATGAAGCACTTCCACTGAAACCATGGCAGGCAGTCAGGTAAATGGTGGTGCTGGATAACAAGCACCCCATGGAGCTCTGAAAGGGGCTCCACACACCATTAATTCTGATTTTCAAGCCTTAAAACAGTGACATTCCAGGGACTCAAGGAATTCAGTCTTTTTCAAATTAGCAGCTGAGCTGGGTAATGATGAGCTGGTCACTTCTGGATGGATGCTGGCCAAAACATAATTGAGATCCTAAATTACCACCCCTAAAAAATAATGGGAGGCTATAAAACATGCAGTCACTGCCAGAGGCCTGCAGAGAATAAGTGCTGTCAAATAATTTCCTTTTTAAACAAATTAAATTTTCACTGATGCAATAGACTTCTTAATGTAAAACATTTTGATTAAGAGCTAAAAAATATAGCAATCAATACTAACCCAGATTAGAACCTTCCTAATTGGTCTGAAAATAAGGCTAAATGGGAAATCAATACCAAGCTTGCAGGTTTCTGGCTACATCCCACAAGGAATTCCTTGTGGCCCATCCTAACCATTTATACCAACAACTAGGAGAAAAATGAATTAATTACAAATGGAAGGAGCAGAGCACACAGGGATCAGGGTGGACAATGCAGAGCCCAGGTCAGGGACTGAGCCAAAGCAAGGGCTGAGAAAAGCCAGCCCCAGCAGCTCCTGGGCTCTGCTCCAGCTCTGCTGAACCCTGCAGGCACTGAGCACAGCCCTGGGCAGCTGAGGGAGCCCTGAGTGAACCCCAGCTCCAGGAACACCCTGTCCCTCTGCAGGCACTGCCCAGCCCCAGGGCACTGCTGTCAGCCACAGCTGCCCCTGCAGGGGAACACTTAAACTGGGAAAGCCTGACAGGCCACAAAGTGTGAGTGGAGAGATGAGCCCAAGGAGAGAGACCCCCACAGCTCCACCTGCTCATCCCAGAGAGAGACAGCACACACACACTGCAGGTACAGGCTCACAGACCCCCTGCCCACCACAATGCTCACACCAACATCAGGCTTCTACCAGGAAAAGCCCAGGATGGTTTTTATTCCACAGAAAACTCGTTTGAAATACTACATCTCCAATTTTAAATTAATTTGGAATTTTTTCCAGGTTTTCTCCCAGCCCTGGTGTCCAAGAAGCTGCTTTGGCACACAAGGAACAGACCCACCCAGAACAGCTGCAATGTCCTGCTGACTGCACAGCACTCTGCACCCACCCAGCAGCAAAAAAATTAATTCCCAATGGAAACTGGAATAGATGGGACCTCATCTGAGACTGGGATCAACCCAGAATGTCCCAATATCATGTGTGCTACACACTGACCATGTGGATATTGAACAGGGTGCCCAGAGCAGCTGGGGCTGCTCCACCCCTGGCAGTGCCCAAGGCCAGGCTGGACACTGGGCTGGGAGCAAACTGGGACAGTGGGAGGTGTCCCTGCCCTGGCAGGGCTGGCACTGGGTGGGTTTTAAGGTCCCTTGCAACCCAAATCATTGCAAGAAGGTTTCCTGAGCCACAAGCTGTTGCTATGGAGCTTGACCTCAGCCCCTGAGGTGAGATTCCCTTTTGTGTCCATCCCCACCCTGTGCCCATGTTCCCTGGGGAGGGAAATGTCTGTGGAAGTGTCCTGCACGTCTCTTGTTCTGGGTTCAGAAGCTGGGAGCTGGCTGCTCTGAGGTCAGTGGCAGCCCCAGCCGTGCCCCCAGCCCCACACTCACTCCATCTCGTAGACAGTGACTGGCAGGGTCTGCTCCATCAGGGAGAACTTCTTGGTTTTCACAGGTTTGATAATGGGCTCTGCAACAAGAGACACAACAACAAACTGTTCCCAGAGCCCTGGACAAGCAGGGTCAGGAATGGCCCCAGGATGAGGACTGGAGCTGACAACCCCTCAGTTTCCTGGCTGACAGATTCTCCCAGCTGTTTGTCAAGGCTGCAGGAGATGGTCACTGAACCATTCCAGCACACAGGGATCAAAGGAGATCAGTTAAATACATTTACTTCTGCCTCAAATAGCTCTCCCACCTCTGCTGATTCCTGTTCTTCCAAAGATACCCTTGTTTGGGTTTGCAAAGACCACAAGTGCCCAAATCTGCAGAGTTCCTGGGGCTATGAGGGGGCTCCAAAGGGGCAGGGCAGAAGGGAATCCTATTCCCCCTTCCCAAGGATCCATGGAGAGCCTTCCCCCCCTCCAGCCCCTCCCCACTGACCAGTGAGTGGCTGTGTGTCCTCCTCCTGCACGATGGTCTCCACCTCAGGCCCATAGACCTCCTCAGCTGTGGGGTAGTACTTCTTGTCCTCGTGCAGCACCACCTCCATGCCGGGGTGCTCCTCGTCGTGCTCGCCCATGTCGTCATCATCATCATCATCCTCCAGCTGCAACCAAGGCTCGCCCTGAGCTGCTGTGGAGCCCCCAGGGGCCAGGCCTGGGGTGCCCCCCGAGGCAGGGCCCCCCAGTGCAGCCCCAGCACCCACGGGGTGCCCTGGCAGCAGCTCCTGGAGGAGCAGCACCCCTGGACTTGCAGGGACCCCCCACAGCCCAAGGCAAGAACCACCCCTGGTAACACAAGCCCACCCACAGGCCAGCAGGGCAGGGCAGGGGCTCCCCAATCCCCCCTGGGGCAGCCCCCTGCTCCCCCTGTGGCCGTGGGGTCTGGCTCTGCCTCCCCAGAGGGGATCCAGCTCCCTGCAGCAGCCTCAGCTCCCCCCTGAGGGGCTCAGACCCACCAGGGGCTGACACCAAACCCAGCCCAGCCCAGGAGCTCTGGCTCCCCCCACCATTCCAGCCAGACCTCTCTCTCTACGCCAGGAAGGGATTTTGGGAGTTCCTTGAACAGCAGCCCCACCCGGAGCTCTCAGGCCCCGCGGGGGGCAGGAGCAGCCCGGGCCGGCTCGGGACCAGCCCCGGGCTCGCTGCCCCTCCTCACCTCGTCCAGGTCTTTGGCCTCCCGGCCCAGCTCGTCGTCGTCATCGTCCGAGTCCAGCTCGGGCCCGATGTAGTTCCCAAACTCATCGTACAGGTCGGTGTCCATGCTGGGGGCGGGGAGAGGGTCGGGGGGGGCAGAGACCGGGGCCGTGACAGAACCCCCTCGGGGCCCCTGTCACCGGGGCCCCAGCCCCAAGCCCCGGCCCTGCCCGAAGTCCCAGCCCCGGCCCCGCTCTCCCTCACCAGCCCCGGACCCAGCTCCAGCCCCTGCCCCGGTCCCAGCCCCGCTCTCCCTCACCAGCCCCAGTCCCGGTCCCGGTCCCGATCCCGGTTCCCGCTCTCCCTCACCTGCCCTTGCCCCTGCCCCAGCCCCGGTCCCAGCCCCAGTTCCCGCTCTCCCTCCCCGGTCCCGATCCCGGTTCCCGCTCTCTCTCACCCGCCCCAGCCCCGGTCCCGGTCCCGGTTCTCTCTCTCCCTCACCAGCCCCAGCCCCGGTCCCGGCCCCGGTCCCGGTTCTCGGGTCCGTCACCGGCGGCGCTGTCGCGACAGAGGCGCGGCCGCGGGGCCGGCGCTGTGCCGGGGCTGGGGCTTCGCACACGGGAGAGGGTCCCGGCTGCCACCCGCGGGCGCGGCCCTGGGCTGCCGCAGCGGGGGCACAGGGCGGGACTGTCGCGATAAGGTCGGGGCTGTCGGGCCCGCCCGGCCGCGCTGCCGTGCCACAGGCGCGTCCTCCAGGCAGGGCTGCTCGACAGGAGGGTCGCTGTGCCCCCAGGCCGGCCCCGCGTCTCCCGGGGATGGAGCCGGGCCTGGATCCGGCCGGGGCGCTGCCGGTGCTGGAGCGGGAGCTGCGGGCGGCGCTGGCCGAGGACGAGCGGCGGCAGCGGGAGGGCGAGGCCAAGCTGCGGGCGCTGCGCCAGGGCGTCCCCGACTACGGGCAGTTCAGGTCCGGGGCTCGGGGAGCGGCCCGAGGGAGCCGGAACGCGCCCGGGGGCTCGGGGAGCCCTCGGGGTGCGATGGGCGAGCGGCAGCAGCCTCCCTCGGGTGCCCGAACAGCCCCGAGGGCAGAGCCCGCTCTGAGGTTTGTCCCAGAGCTCCTCAGGTGGCCCCGTGTGGGCTCAGGTCTGTCCCTGCTCCGAGGCCGGTCCCTGAGGTGGCCCGGCTGTAGCCAGCAGTGGGGTGGCACTGTCCCCTCCCCGGGACACTGTCCCCTCCTCCCAGTCCCACCCCGTCTCTCCCCCCTCCCCAGGCCGTGCGGGGAGTGCAGAGCAGAGGGTGACTGTCCCCTGTGTCCCCTGTGTCCCCTGGCTGTCCCCGGGACACTGTCCCCTCCTCCCAGTCCCACCCCGTCTCTCCCCCTCCCCAGGCCGTGCAGGGAGTGCAGAGCAGAGGGTGACTGTGCCCTGTGTCCCCTGTGTCCCATGGCCCTTGCCAGCCTGTCCCCGGTGTGTCCCTGCTGTGTCCAGGGGCTCTGGGCTGCCAGGGCTGTCCCACGGGGCAGGGTTGGGCATTCCCAGTGCCCTCCAATCCCCAGGATCCATCTGGGGGCTCCCTGTCCTTTGCCATCCAGGATCCACGGGCAGATCCAGGACTTTGATTCTCTGGTGGGACATCCTGGGACCAGCTCAGATTCCCCTCATGGGTTCATGGCTGCCCCGTTCCCCATGCCCCCTCATCCCTGAGGGGAGGAAAACACCTTCAAGTGGCTTCTTCCCCAGATACCTTGATGGGATTCCCGAGGGATTTCAGGCTGGTTTGTCCTTGTGCTGGTCAGGGCCTGCTCCTCCAGCCCCTCTGGGTGCCCCAAAGTCAGAAACTGGCCCAGAGCAGCAGCTTGGAGCCTCCAAGTGTTTCCTCCTGCCACGTGTCCCTCCTGTCCCTGTCCCTCTAGGGAGATTGTGCTGGCTTCTCACCTGAAGCCTCTGGAGAAGAAGGACAGGCTGGGACAGAGGAGGAACGTGCTGTGGAATCCCTGTGCAGCCCCAGCTGAGGCAGCACCTGCCTGCGCTGTGGAGATCCCACAGGTGAGGGAGAGGCTGGAAGTGGCTCAGGAAGCACCTGGCTGTCAACTGCAATGCAGGAGTCACTCAGGACTGTGGTGTGAGCCAGCCCTCCTGGCCCCTGGAATGTCAGGGTTTGGATCAGGCTGGGCCCCTTCAGGAGGAGTCTGCTCCCTCCCTGTGGTACCCAGAGCTCCCAGTGGGACTCGGGAGCAGCCTGGGAGCTGTCCCTCCTGGCTGGGAGCAGCTGCAGCCTGCCCAGAGCCAGGGCTGAGCTCCAGGCTCCTCCCTGGAGCAGCCTCTGGCTGCAGGCATTCCCTGAGCACAGGGAAGTGCCCGTGGTTTGATGGCCATGGAGGAGAGCTGGGCTGGGTTCATCCTGCCCAGCCTGATGAGCTCCCTGGTCCCTGAGCAGGGGGGAACAGGGACAGGACATTTTCTGTCCCTGTTTGTGCTTGGGGTCACCTCCTGGCCCTGCCCTGGCTCTGTCCATGCTGGGGTGTCCTGGTCACTGGATGTTTCCCATGGATGTTCCCATGATAAGGCAGTTCCATGGAGTGCCTTATAAACAGTCTCAAGGGCTGTTTATGGTGCTGGGTTTCACTGACCTCTGTTTATTTTTGCATCTCTCCTGAGGAGGGCTGTGTTTGCTTGGACTGAGCAATGCTCTCCCCAAGCAAATCCTGCTCCTGGCCCCATCAGCACCAGGCTCAGATCTCCAGAGCTTCTCCAGCTGTGCCCAGCCCCAGCTGATGTCACTTTGCTTTGTTCCCTGGCTGTAGAAAAGCTGCACCTCTGTCTCCTCCCTCAACCTGTGTGACCCAGCAGGGCTGGCTCAGCAGTTCATTAGAGCTGGCATAAAATGGGATTTCCTTTACCTGGGAATGGAGCTCAGCTCTCAGCCTCTGCTCTGCCACATGCCCACCAGTGCCAGGTGGTACCAGACAGGGCACCTGCACATTTGCTGGGGTTTGCATCTCCCACCTTTTCTCTGCCACTCTCTGGTTTTTCCTCTCTGTGCTCAGAGTGTTCTGATCTCCATGAGATCCTTTCCCAGGCAGTGCTGGTGGATCCAGGCTGGGCAGAGTCTGACTCTGCTTGGGGCTGGGGTCACTCCACAGCCCTCTGTGTTCACACTGGTGTCACAGCCCATCCACACTTCCCTTCCCCCCTGGAATTCCCAGGTTCCTCAGGGTTGAAGGCACCTACCATTTCCTTGTTTTCCCTTTGTTCCCCTGGATTTTCCTGGTTCCTCAGGGTTGAAGACACCTGCCATTTCCTTGCCTTCCCCTTTTCCCCCAGGAATTCCCAGATTTCTCAGGGTTAAAGGCACCTACCATTTCCTTGCCTTCCCCTTTTCCCCTGGTGTTCCCTGGTTTCTCAGGGTTGAAGGCACCTGCCATTTCCCTGCCTTCCCCTTTCCCCCTGGAATTCCCAGATTTCTCAGGGTTAAAGGCTCCTGCCATTTCCCTGCCTTCCCCTTTTCCCCCTCAGCAGCTCCTTGTGCTGCCAAAGCCCCTGGTCAAAACATCTCAGCTGTCCATGGGCTGATTGGGGTGAGGGGATCAAAGTTTTCAAGTGGGACCAAAACAAAAGGAGCTGAGTGTCCCTTTCTCCCCAGGAGCTGGATCAGCTGCCTGGCACCGCGGCGGAATTTCACCGACGCTGGCGCAGATGCTTGAAAAGTGGGACAGAGAAATACCAGCTGCTGCTGGAGCTCGGAGGGGAGGCCCTGGGCAGGATCTTCCAGGCTGATGTGGGCTTTGGCCTGCTGGGGGAGTTCCTGGCAGTGCTGGCAGAGAACATCCATCCTGGAGACAGAGCTGCCGTCCTGCAGATCCTGCAGAGCCTGGCGGGCACCAAGCGCTTCGGGCTCAACGTGGCTCTCCTGAGCCAGGCGGAGAAGCAGAGCAGCCAGGAGTTGTTCAGGAAGCTGCAGGGCAGGGATTGGCAGGCTGCTGGCCAGCCTGGCTGCCTGGGCAGCTGCGAGGCAGGGAGGGAAGCCCATCCCATGGAGACCCACCTGGAAAAGGGAACTGAGGAGGAGAGGATGGTGGTGGAGCTGATGAAGTGTTACCAGGTCAGCTGAGGGAGCAGGAGCACCAGGGTTGAGCAGAAACCTCAGAGCTGGACTTGGGCATCAGCCAGGGCACAAGCTGTGCACAATAAAGTTTAACTCCCAGGCTGTGGTGCTGTGGTCTCTGAGCAGGGCGCCCTCACAGATGGGTATGGGAGAGTCTCTTGGATAAGGAGAGGTTCAAGGGAAAGAAAACAGGGTGGTGGTTTTGGAGGAGAAACCCAGACCCAGATAGTCCCTTTCCTCTCCCACCCCAGTCCACAGTTACTGAGGGGTTCTAGGAGATGTAATTGATGGCAGTGACAATTCAGGTCGATTTTTCCCCCTAACCCAGTGCAGCAAATGGCAGAGTCACCCCTGCAGACTGGAAGCACCTGCTCCCACCTGCCCTGGAGAAACCACCAGGCACCTGATGGCAGGTCCAGGTTCATCCCCGAGGCCTGGTGTGGGAATATTGACCTTTGTGGCACCCCTTGAGGGGACACATGTGTCCCTGCACGCTGCTGTGGTGCTTTTCCTCCTGCCTTTGCACACCTGACAACAGCTGAGCACTGGAGACCTCAGCAAAAGAAGGTCCTGGAGCTGCCCAAGATCAGGATGGAGGATTCTGGTGCCAGAACAGCCCCAGCACAAGAGTCACAGCTCTGGTGGGAGCAGGCACGCTGCTTGAGTGGTGCCAAGGCTCAGGGTGAGGAGGGCAGGGCTGGGAGCAGCCTGCTGCATGCCCAGCTCGTGGGAAAGGCAAAATCCCTGGGGACTGGTGGGAAGGCTCAGGAGAAACGCAGTGGAGCAGAGATTGTGGGAATGGTGACAGGATGGGGCTGTGAGACCCACTGGGGCCCTTTCCAGGTCAGCCAGGTCACAGTGTGAGCTGAGCTGCTGAGAGCTGAGCTGAGGGGGCAGGTGGGGTCCAGGAAACATGAGCTTCATCATCATCTTCATCCTCACCCACCTGGGCATCCAGGCAGGGCTCACAGGGAGGAAACATGAGCATCATCATCATCATCCTCATCATCCTTGCCTGTGTGGGCACTCAGTCAGGGTCTGAGTGCCCTGAGTGGGGAGGAAATATGAGCATCATCATCATCATCATCATCCTTGCCCATCTGGGCTTCCAGACAGGATCCACAGGGAACAAACATGGGCATCATCATCATCATCATCATCATCATCATCATCATCATCATCCTTGCCCACTTGGGCTGCTGCTGGCAGGCATTCAAGAGCCTATCCAGGCTGGGACATCATCCCCAGGGGCACTTGGACACCCTGGGCCGTTCTCCCAATGGAAATTCCCCAGGTCTGGCCATCAACAGTCAAACACTGCCAAACTCCTGCTCTCCCTCCCCTCAGGGCAGTGGGACAGCAAGGACTGATGTGGGAAAGTCCCTGTTTGGGCACAGCTCAGTAGGGACAGGCAGGATTTGACAGGGCCAGGGTTTGCTCCAGGTGGGATTTCACACTGCCAGGATTTGTTCCTGGCTCTGCCATGGTTGGCAGTGGGGGTTAAAGCTCAATAAAGTCCTTTTCAAAAGAAAACTTGGAGCTGGTGCAAGATGTTCTGGCCAAACTGTAGAGTTCTTGATCTGCACCAGTGATTTATTACAGCTGTTTTTCTAAGAGGCTGCTAAAAACATCCACCAAACTATTTTAATCCAATTAATCCTTGCTTTTCTCACCCTTGTTTGCCTTGTTTTCCATGTTGAGAACTGTGTGTCCCAAACCCTTCAGGGTCCCTTTTGAGCTCCTCAGCTGGAGCAAACCCATACCTTTTAATTTTTGTTGTTGGTGGTTTTTTTTAACTTGTGAAGGGAAAAATATTTTTCAAGCTGATTTGGTGGTTTTTTGTTTTTTTTTTTTTTTCAGGAATGGCTGCTTTTGGGGTGCTTTTAACTCACCCAACTCCCCACAGTTGAGAGTCAATGTTTGTGCCTGACAAAGTCACCTCAAACATCCTCCAAAGGCTGTGACAGCTCTGCAGGGTTTTGGGGGACACTTAATCCTCAGCATGGAGCAGGATGTGCCAGCAGATGTGCCAGGAGTTCAGCAGAAATCCCTCTGTCCCTCTGTCCCTCTGTCCCTGTGTCCAGGAGGGCACGGAGGGTCCCAGTGCTGCTCTGGCCCTTGAACATTTGATGATGTGCAGGATCCCCAATCCACCCCCAGCCCCAGGAGCTGCAGCCAGTCCACCCCCAGCCCCAAAGCTGCAGCCTGGCATTGTGTGGGCAAGGAGCTGGGTCTGAGGGTGAAGAACCCCCAGGAGATCCCTGGTTCCCATCAGGGAAGGGGATCTCTCCCACCCCACTGTGTGATCCCTCCCCTGCTCAGTCCCTTGTGGCTGCTGGCCCCCGGAGTGTATCCATGCCTGGGGCTCAGCCCTGAGCACCTTCTCCTGCATCATTAGGATTGGTTTGGGCTCCCGGGGGTCCCCACCACCCCAGATAATCCCAAAGCCCGGCAGTGCTGGCTGCAGAGAGGCACAGCCATGGAAGCTCAGTGTGTTCGTTAGCTTTATTCTCATCCTGCAGCAGCGTTAGTGCATTAATTCGGCAGCAGGGAGGCTGCTCCTGGTGTCCCATCCCCTGCATTCCTGCCCGGGCACCACCCAGCTCTCCCACAGCACCTCCTGCCCTGTTGTGGGTCTGGGCTCAGAGCGGAGCTGCTCGGCCCCGGACAGAGGGGACAGAGGGGACAGAGGGGACAGCACCCGAGGGCAGCCCTGCTCATCCCAAAGGCTCTCGGGGCACGGGAGGTGCTGCTGTTCCGTGTCAGGGCACCGGGCAGGTCCTGGCAGGTCAGTGCCCGCAGCCAGGCTGGGGCTGGGGCTGTGGGGAGCACCGGGCTGGGCAATGGCCCCGGGGGCCAGGGCAGGTGGGGGACAGGGCCCCGTGCAGCCCAGGGACAAGGGGTTTCCTCCAGTCCCTTCCTGAATGCCCGGGCAGGGTGGGCTCAGCTGTGTGGGGCAGGGACAGTGGCTGGGGCAGCCCCAGAGTCCCTGGCTCCCAGAGTGACCCCCAAGTGACGAGGCTCCCCCGTCACTCCTCGGCTGCAGGTGGCACCTTGGGCTGTGAGGCCCTCACAGGTGCCCTGACACCTTCCTCCTCTTCCTCCTCCTCTGCACCCCTCTCCTCTCCATTTTCACCTGCCTGAGATTCCCCTGCCTCAGGGCCGTGGGTCACCCCTCAGGTCTGGTTTTCCCTGTTTTTCCTGTGTTGGGGACACCTTGGTGGCAGTCACCCAGTGGGATCAGGACAGCCCCATGGCTCTGTGCCAGGAGAAGCCCTTGAGGCCACTGTGTAACCCCACAACCCACCCCAGACACCTGAGCCCCCTCAGGATCCCCTCCTGATGCCCTTTTTGTCACCCCTTGCCACCATCCCACGAGCATCCTGCTTCTCCACCCTCCTCTTCCTCCTGCCCCTGCCTCTCCATCATCCCCCTTCTCCACCCCTGCCTCTCCCTCCTCGGCCCTGCCCTGCCTCCAGCTGAGCTCACCCAGTGCTTGGTGACAGGGAAATGTCCCTGTCCAGCCGGGACCTCGGCCCTGCATCCCCCCAGCCGCGGCTCTCAGGGCCCGGGTGCCCTGGGGAGGTGCAGGAGGCCTCCCAGGCCAGGGAGTGGACGCAGGGAGCTGCTCCTGGCACCATCGTGTTGTCTGAGGGTGCACGGAGGTGAAACAGGACAGAGTCTCTCCCTGGAGACCAGGGTGAGGCAGGAAGGGCCCCCAGACCTGAGAGCATCCCGGCCCTCCGGACCCCCGCGGGTGCTGCCCGGTCCGACCGGAGCTCTGCCCCCTAAAGGGGCGCCCGGGGCCTGGGCACCGGAGAGGCCAGGGGGGCACGGCGGGGAGGTGCCCCCAAGCGCCCCCGGGGCTCCCCTGGCACCTGCGGGCCGCGGCTGCCCCGCCCTAGGGCACCTCCTCGGGCTCCTGCTTGGGCTCCTTCAGCACCTGCAGGTGGAGGAGAGGGATCGTGAGCGCCAAATCGGTTCTGCCACCGGCTGAGCCTGCCCGGGCTCTGAACGCGGTGGGGACGGGGACAGGGACAGGACAGGACAGGGACGGGGACGGGGACAGGGACAGGGACAGGGACAGGACAGGGACAGGGACAGGGATAGGACAGGACAGGGACAGGGACAGGACAGGGAGAGGAACAGGGACAGGGACAGGACAGCTTTCTCTATCAGCTGCCAGCCACAGCTCCACCATGACCCGGTCAGCTCGTGCCACACCCTCAGGGATCACTGGCTCCCTGCCTGGGCTGCCTGTGGCCTTGGGGATGGTGGCCCCATGTGCAAGTCCCTTGGGGACCCTGTGGGGAGGTGGGGATGGAGCGGGGTGACACAAATGAGCATTTCCCACCTCTCCATCTCGGGTCTCCACAGTTTTGACCACGATGCTCCTCTTCACGTGAGCTTCTGACACAGATTTGGTGTCCAGGCTGGTCTCTGGGGGACATGGGCAGGACAAGGCAGTGACACCCTGCCCGGGGTATGGCCCTCCCAGCCACACTCCAGAGGAGAAGCCCAAAGAAAATGGATTGGGCTGGAAACTCCTGAACCATGAGAGACAGCATGGAGACACCACCAGCCTCAGGGACAGGGCTGGCACTGGGGATGTGGCAGGCCGTGGGATCTGATGTGTCCTGAGGACACTGTTGGGCTGCGGGGACAGCTGGGGACATTTCTGGCCTTGGAGATGTTGTGGACCATGAGGACATGGGTGGCTTTGGGATGTGATTGAGCTTGGGGACAGGCTTGTCCTTGGGGACACACTTGTCACCGAGGAACAGTTGTCCTTAGGGATGTGGTTGTCATTGAGGACATGATGATGTGATCAGTGCTGGGGACATCGTCAGCCTTGGGGACACGTTCAGCCTTGGGGATACGGCCATGGCACCTCCTCCCCCCGCCCAGGAGGTTCCCTGGGACTCAGAGAAAAACCTCCTGATCCCTCTGACTGGGGCAGGGATGGCCAAGGTGCCACAGAGCCCCTGGAAGCCTCCCCTGTTTGTGCCCCCATCCCGCTGCCCCTCCCTGCGTGGGGCACAGCCTCACCTCGGATCTGCAGCTTGGAGAAGCTCTGCACAGGGATGGTGATCCTGCAGGGCAATGGCAGCATTGGGAAGAGCACGAGGTCCTGCTGGACACCCCAGAGGGACCACGAGGAGCTGGGCTGGGCTGGGGCATGGCTGGGTGGGGTGAGGGCAGGATGGAGCTCTCACCTGCTCTCCTCTCCCTCCAGCAGCTTGCGGTACGTGGCGATCTCAATGTCGAGGGCCAGCTTGACGTTGAGCAGGTCCTGGTAGTCCTGCAGGTGCTGGGCCATCTCCTGCTTGAGGCTCTGGCTGTTCTCCTCCAGCCTCCCCACCGTGTCCTGGTAGCCGGCCGTCTCCAGGGCGTAGCGCTCCTCCAGCTCCCGCAGCTGCCTCTCCAGGGACCCGTTCTGGGGCCAAGGGGCTGTGAAGCCCCATGGCCACCTTCTCCCAGCAGCTGGGGCTCTCCCCATTGTCCATCCATCTCCCACCCTCGGGGACCAGCCGTTCCCCTGGCTGTGGGTGCTGGTCCTGCCAGGGAACCCCCGGGGCTGGCAGCTCCCCGAGGCCGTGTCCCTGCTCTTGCACCCCACAGCTGTCACCTACCGAGCCCCTCAGAGCCTCCAGGTCGCAGGTGAGGGCCTGGAGCTGGCGCCGGTACTCGCTGGCCTCCTGCTTGGCCGCCCTGAGCGCCTCAGCGTGCCGGGCAGCCGCGTCCGTCAGGTCTGCAAACTGGGACAGGGGACGAGGCCATGGCAGGGGAGCACGGGGCAGGGATGTGTTCTGGTGTGGGAACACAGCCCTGCTCTGCTCCACAGCAGGGACAAGGCCCCAGAGCTCGTGGCAAGGAGAAACATCCCTGGCCTAGCGGGGACAGCAGAGATCCCAAACCCCGCACGCCAACCCCGGCCCCGAGATGGTGACACCCCGGGAGGGGACAGCCAGGCCATCCATCCTGGGGCAAGCAGCTCCCACTGCACCTTGGACTTGTACCACTGCTCGGTGTCCTGGGCGGTGCTGGCGGCCGTGGCCTCGTACTGGCTGCGGATGTGGCGCAGCGCGGCCGACAGCTCCGCCTTGCGCGCGTCCACCTCCACGTGCACCCGCTGCTGGGCCAGCTGCTCCCGCAGCTCCCGCAGCTCCTGGGGGGACAGCGGGGTCAGGGCAGCCCCCGGAGCCCCAGCCCCAGCCCCAGAGCGGGGTTACCTCCTGGTGGACCTTGTGGAGGAAGGCGATCTCGTCCTGCAGGGTCCCCACGCGCCGCTCCAGGGCCAGGCGAGCCAAGGCAGCATTGTCCACGTCCTGTCACCATGGGGGGACAGGAGGGGCTGTCTCAGCTGCCGCCCGGGTCCTGAGCTGCCTGCTCATGTCTATTCCCTCCCACTCCCACCCAGCCCTGCCTCTCTCTGCCCAGTCCCAGTCCCTCACTGCCTGCTCCTGCCATTCCTGCCCATCCATGTTCCATATCTGTCCATCCCTGCGCTTCCCACTCATCCCTGCTCCATTCCTGCTCCCTACCTGCCCATTGTAACACACAGCAGTCCCTCAGTTCCTGCTCCTGCCCATCCCTCCCTGTCCCTGCTACCTCCCTGTCCATCCCTGCCCCATCCCTGCCCATTCCCAAGGGAGGCCAAGCTGGGATCTGCCCTCACCTGTCTGTAGGCAGCCAGGTTGCTCTCGGCCTCCAGCCTCAGGGTGACCTCGTCCTGCAGCCTGTGCCAGAGCAGGGCACAGTGACACATCCAGCACCATGGCTGGTCACTCTCAGCCCACAGACAGACCCCCTGGGCTGACACAGCCCCACAGCACCAGCACCCCCAAACCCAGGTCAGCTCTTGTGCCCAGCCCACACACCCCCACACTGTTCCCAGGGGTCACCCCTATCCCATCACAATCCTGGTGCACACCGGTCCCTGGTCCCCAGGGCTACCCTGCTCTTGTCTCAGGAGTCACTCTGACCCCTGGGAACACTTGGGCTCCGTTCTGTCCTTGTCACCACCATGGTTTCCATCACCAGGAAGATCCTGATCCCCATCCTGGTGTCCATCCCCGTCCCTGCTGCCACTTTGGTTCCAGTGGGCCACCCTGGTCCTGGTAGTCGCCTGACACCCATCCCAGGTGGGCCACCCTGGTCCCCGGGGCCGCCCCGAGCTGTTCAGTGCCTCACTTCTGCTGGAGGCTGCCGAGCTGCTGGGCCAGGTTGTCCCTCTCCATCTGCAGGCGGGCCGTGGCGGTGGCCAGGTGCTCCCCGCGGCGCCGCAGCTCCCGCAGCTCCTCCCGGTAGCCGTCGGCACGGGAGGGCTCCCGCTGCCGCTGCCGGCCCAGCTCCAGCAGCAGCGCCCGGTTCTGCCGCTCCAGCAGCCGCACCTTCCCGATGAAGCCGGCGAGGCGCTCGTTGAGCTCCATCATCTCCACCCTCTCGCTGCTGCGCGTCTCCCTGAACTCCGAGTTGAGCGCCGCGGCCAGCGAGAAATCCACGCTGCCCGAGCCCGGCCCGGGGCTCGGCCGGGGGCTGCGGGGCGCCCGGAGCCGGCCCGGGGCGGAGGGGCCGAAGCGGCGGCCGTGGGAGGGCAGGCTCCGGCTCTCCATGCCGGGCGGGCGGGCGCGGTGTGCCCGGCCCGGGGTTTTATGGAGCCCCCGGGCGGCACAGAGCCAGGCTGTGGTGCCCGCAGGGGCGGCCGTGCCCTGGCAGCCAGCCCGGGCACCGCGGCTGTGCCCTGCCCAGCGCTGCCCCCGCTCCTGCGCTGGGGATGGCGCCGGGGGGACACGGGGGACACCGCGCTGGGCACGGCACCCCGTGGGTGGGAGCTGGTGCCGACCCACGGGGCGCTGGGGGTGCTGCTAATGAAGATCCCACAAAAAACTCTTCCTGATATTCAATCCCTGACACAGCTTCATGCCTCTTCCTCAGGTCCTGTCACTGGTCACCGCAAAGAAGAGATCAGTGCCTGCCCTTCCGCTTCCCTCTGTGAGGAAGTTGTAGCTGCAGTGAGGTCTCCTCTCAGTCTCCTCTTCTCCAGGCTGAGCAAACCTCAGCAAACCTCATGACTGCATGAGCTCACTTCCCTGTGCTGCGCATCCCTGGATTCCCATGGACTGCTTGGCAGGATGGAGGATGAAGGGTCATGGCACACACATGCCTTCCCCATCCCAAGTCCTGTGAGGGTGATGGCAATGCTTGGCACCACGGAGAGGGAGAGATCTTCATGGGCTTCTGGTATTGTAGGTGTCTTTATGAAATTAGATATCTGGCTGCATGGGCTAGTGGGGTTGGTGGTGGGATCTTAATTAGGAGGCTGGAGCCTCTAAATCCCCATCCCAATGGGCAGTGGAAGGGTTGGCTGGTGGCCCTGGAGCCCTGGTCCCTGTCCCCAGTGTTCCCGGGTCCCCGTGGGAAGGTTTGATCCCACACGGCTCAGTGTGCATGCCCGTGGCACTGGCACACATGCACGGAGTCTGGGGGCCTTTTGCCCCTGGTGACACACACGGGGGCTGCCAGGGGCTTTCTGCTGCGGCTGAAAGGGGCTTTGTGCGGAGCCAGAGCCGCGGCACAGCCGGCAGGAGCCCGTGTGCCAGGGCACGGCCCTGCCGGGAAGCGCGGGGGCCGATCCAGGCCGGGCACGGGGCCAGCGTGGGCACAGCCCGGGCAGGGGATGGGCGTGTGCTGGGGACACGGGGAAGTCCCCATCCCAATGGGCTGTGGACGGGCTGGCTGGTGGCCCTGGAGCCCCGGTCCCTGTCCCCAGTGTTCCCAGGTCCCCGTGGGAAGGTTTGATCCCACAGCGCTCAGTGTGCATGCCCGTGGCACTGGCACACATGCACGGAGTCTGGGGGCCTTTTGCCCCTGGTGACACACACGGGGGCTGCCAGGGGCTTTCTGCTGCGGCTGAAAGGGGCTTTGTGCGGAGCCAGAGCCGCGGCACCGCCGCGAGGAGCCCGTGTGCCAGGGCACGGCCCTGCCGGGAAGCGCGGGGGCCGATCCAGGCCGGGCACGGGGCCAGCGTGGGCACAGCCCGGGCAGGGGATGGGCGTGTGCTGGGGACACGGGGACATGAGCCGCAGGTGGTGGCACCGGGGTGGGTGCCCCGAGGGGCAGCTGGGGTGAAGCAGGGGGACAGGAGTGTCCCTGGGAGTGTGCTGCAGGGACAGGGACAGGGACGGGAACGGGGACAGGGACAGGGACAGGGACAGGGACAGGGATGGGGACGGGAACAGGGATAGGGACAAGGATGGGGATAGGGACAGAGAAGGGACAGGGACAAGGAAAGGACAGGGACGGGGACAGGGACAGGGACAAGGATGGGGATAGGGTCAGGAACAGGGTCAGGGACAGGGACAGGGACAAGGATGGGGACAGGGACAGGGACAGGGACAGGAATGGGACAGGGGAGGGACAGGGACAGGGACAGGGACAGGGACGGGAACGGGGACAGGGACAGGGGCTGGCCCCGCCGCTGGCAGTAGATGGCAGCCGATGGCCGGGAAAGGCTCTTGGCTGCCGTGGGACGGGACACTTCCCTGGACCACGGCCGCCACCACCCACAGTGGCCAGTGGGGAGGGCTGTGGGTGCAGACTGGGGAGACCCAGGGCCAGCAGGGACCATACTGGTGAGACTGGTGGGACTGGGACAGCTCCCACCTCCCTCTCTAACCCCAGAAGCTCCTTGCCTCCAGCCAGCCCCGTGCTCCCCTGGCTGTCCTGTGCTGGTGTCACCAGGGGTTGTGCCCACAAAAATTCCAGGTTTGGGGCACCTTCACATCCCCAGCGACTCTTGTGTCCCCAGAGAGCAGTGGCATCCCTGGAGACACGTGCTGTGTGACAGCTCTGCTGGCAGGACAGCCCCTCCCCGGTGCTCAGGGGTGGAGGGGGCACAGAGCGGGGGCCGGGGAGCTTTGGGGTCCTGCGTGGGCACCCGCTGCTCCCGGGGATCGATTCTCTCCCGGCTCCCACGCGGCGCCATCAAAGCACGGGCAGGGCGGGAGGCAGAGCTGGGCTCCCCCTCCTCTTCCTCCTCCTCCCCACCTAATGACACAAACGAACTGGGAGCGGGCTGGCAGTTTTAATTGGAAGCTTCCAGGCTCAAGGAGACAAAGGCGAGATCGGCCGGGCAGGGAAGGAGGCGCTGGCAGCAGAGGTGGCCCCGAGCTGCCGGGAGCCTCGGCCGCACTGCCCGGGGCTGCTCGGCCCCGCGGTGCCCGGCTGCCGTGCCCAGCTGCTGATGCAGCCCCTGCCCGCTCTCCCCCAGCCCACCTCTCCAGAGCAGCTCCTGGACATGTTGGCCAAAGGCAACAAGAACCGGGCACAGCGTGCCACCAAGGCCAACGCCGCCTCCTCCCGCTCCCACGCCATCTTCCAGGTGAGGGCTGCTGCCTCTGGGCTCGCCCCACTGCTGCTGCCAGCGGGGCTGGAAGCACACCTGCACACTGTGCCAGCACCAGCGTCCCCCTCAGGGCTGTCCCCTCGCCCTGAGCTGGGAACGTTGCTCCCCTGGGGCTCTGTTCGTGTGCTCTCTGCTGTCTGGGTGCAAAGCTGCCCGAGGGTTTCAGTCCCAGCCAGGCCCTTCCCCAATTCCAGGGCTGTCACGGCTGCCTGGGCACACGGAGGCTCTGGCTGTCACTTCAGCCCCTTGCTGCTGGCAGGGGAGCAGCCCAGGTGTCTGCATGCTTTTCCAGCCAGCTCCCAGCTGGGCTCCTTGGTGGCTCCTGGATTCCTGCCTGCACAAATCCCTGAGCTGTGCTGGAATTCTGCCCTTGCTGCTGCCAGCTCTGCCTTCCAGCAAGCAAACCACGGCTGCAGAGGATACAGGAGCAGCCCTCAGCTTCCAGCACCTCTGGCCCTGCAGGGGTTAATCCTGGGGGAGAGAGGGGATTAAGGGCAGTGGGGGAAACACTTTGGGGTCTACTGGGAGATTTTTAGGGATTCAGAGGGGAAGGCATGGAGCAGTGCTGCCAGGCGAGTCCTGGTGGCTGTGTTCCTCTGTCCTGCACCAGCCCTGGCCTTGGCACACACAGCCCTGGCTGGTGCCACCCTGGGGACACTGTCAGCTCTGTCTGGGGGCTGAGTTTGGTGGCAAAGTCCCCAGGGAGAGTCAGGCCTGGAGCTGCTTCTGTGTGTGAGCCCTCCTGCCTCACTGGGGCTTTGGGCGGGTTTGTTGCCCTTCAAGGACCCAACCAGCTGTACCCTTCTCCATCCCTGAGTGTGGGAGATGCAGATTGTTTTCCACAGCTCTGTCCCTCCCTGACTGTGCTTCTCATGTCCTCACCAGGTGTTTGTCTCACCATCATCAACACGGTTCAAGTGCCAGAGCATCGCTGGGACCCACAGTGCCCTCCTGGACAGCAGGATTCCTCTTGGGAGTGCTGGAATCCTCAAGTCACATCCCCAAACAAAGGAGATGAGCCTGGAGGGCACATCCTGCTCCCTGCTGAAACCCTGCAGAGATGCCACCACCTTTGGGGCATGTGTAAGATAACTCTGTCAGGCACAAATATTGACTCCCAATTCTGTGCTGAGTTCCATGAGTTAGGAACACCTCAAAAGCAGAGACTGTTCTGAAGAAAATTGCCAGATTATTTGAAAAACAACACAAAAAACTTTCCCTTCAAAAAGTGAAAACAAAACACTGAAAAAAAAGTTGAAACTAAAATATACAAAAATGGTCCTCACATTGGAAATTCCTGTGCCAGGGTGATCCAAGGTGTCCGAGTGTCCTGTGGGGGAGCTGCTATGGCTTGGCCGCTTTCCTGAACACCTGAGAGATGTAGCAGGACAAGTGGACGAGGAAGAAGATGCCGATGACGATGGCAAAGCTGATGCCCACGGCCCTCATGACGAAGATCGACTCGGGGTCTCTGGGGCTCCGCTGGTGCCGGGGCTGGAAGATGATGCTGAGCTGGAAGCCGGCCACCAGCTCGCCCTCCCTCCAGCAGAAGTAGGTGGCTTTGTCCTTGCTGTGCACCCGCTGGATGTGCAGGTGGTTCCCGTGGTCGATGAAGAGCCTCATGTTCTTCCTGACCCCCAGCAGGTAGTAGGAGCGGTAGAGGCGCATGGAGCCCTTGTCCCAGGCCACGGCGTGCTCCGGCCGCGCTCCCGGGCACGAGATCACCAGGTCAGTTTTGGGGAGCTGGTTGTGGTACTGGATGGGGACGTGGGGCAGCTCGGGTCTCTTGCCCAGCTTGTAAATGATGTTGGAGATGGACTGCACGCCCTCCTCGGGGGCTTCCTTCTCCGAGCAGGAGGCCAGGCAGCTCCTGATGGCCACCTCGGGGTTCCGGAGGTGGATGAGGCTCCCGAAGCGTGCGGGCACAGCCCTGGAGCCGCAGGAGGTGACGTTGGGGAGGGTTGTGCGGTAGCGGGGCTTCAGCTCGGCGCTCTGCACGTAGCAGAGCCCGATGCGCCGCTGCTCGCCCCGCACGCCGCAGCGGTCGCAGCTGGTCCAGTCCCAGAACATGGTGAACAGGGTGAAATCCTTCCCTGTGTAGTCCTCCTGGACGTGCTGGTCCTTATCCAGGAAAGCCACCGTGATCTGCCTGGTGGGCTGCACGTCCACGTCGTAGCCGTAGAAGAAGAGCCCTTCCTTGGTGCCGCACAGGTAATGGCCCGAGTCCCTCCCCTGCGCTCGGAACACGATCAGGCTGAACATGCGGATGCTGAAGCGCTTCAGGAGGTCGCTGCCCACGCGGATGTGGCTGGAGTCCACAATCACGGTGCCGTTGAAGTCTGTCAGCACCGTGGTTTCGTGGCTGTGCAGGTTCTTCTGGAAGTACCAGACCACAGAGGAGGTCTCCTCGGGCTTGCACTTGCAGGGCAGCTCGAAGGTCATGTCCGCCAAGTACGCGACGCTCTCGAATAGCAGGAAGGCAGGACACGCCGTCTTCTTGAACACATCCCCTTTCTTCTCAATGGCAAAGGCCTGCAGGGCATCCACCAGGGACAGGAGAAGGGTGGCTCCCAGCAGCCTCGTCCCCATCACTCCCGGTGCTCTCTGGCCCAGCAGAACTCACACAGCCCAGGCAGGGAACTGCTGGGAGCATCCTGCCCTGAAGCAGCCCAGCCTCTGTCACCCGCTCTGAAAGCAGCTCTAGAGCGTTGTCACCCTCGTGCCCGGCAACAATGGAGCTGTGCTGGAGCAGTGGAACCCCCAACATCTCGTCATGGTTTGAGTTGGGTGGGAACTTAGAGAGGATCTCTAGTGCAGATCAACATCTTCATGGCTGTGCCTTTGGGAAGGTATTGGCTTTTGGAGCAGTGGGTTGTGCTTTAATGATTAGGTCAAAGAGAACCTTCAGCCATGGGCTGGCCAATCTGGTGAGAGGGGTTTTAAATAGAAAGGCCTGGGGGCTGGGTTCCAAAGGGGAAATGTTTGTGCCATTGTTTCCTTCTAGGGAGGAGACCAGGCCAGCCCGTGGAGCCTGATGTTCCTTGGCCCGAGATGAGAATCACGGGGCAAACCCCATCAATGCTGTGTGTGGCTGTGGTGGAACCTCTCACACCCCACACGGTTTCCTGATCCCCTCTCTGAAGTGCCTGGACACGAACAGTCACAGCATGGGGAACAAACAAACACTAGAAATGTGAGTGTGCAGTGGCAGGGCCATGATCCCCCTGCAATGACAGTGGGACAGCTCGCCTGACTGGGCTGTTGTCATGGATGGCCATGGCCATTGCCCCCACAGCCCTCACCTGCACTCTGGGACACTCAGCAGAGGCACCCACAGGCCCTGGCATGATGGAGAAGGGGGATGGAGCCCAGCCCCAGAGCCAGAACCTTTTCCAGGCTCCCCACACGAGGGGGAGGCAGGAGAGAACAGCCACGTGTTGGCCCTTGGATTTGGGACAGAACAATTTATTAAAAACACAGTACCTTAATTCCTAAACCCACCCATAACCTGCAAACACACGTACAGGACGGAGCCAACAGAGGGGGCGCAGACGCGGGCGCGCAGCTGGAACCACGGCCAGAAGGGCACCGCGGGGCAGGAGGGGAGGCTGCCGGGGCTGCCGGAGGAGCGGGGCACGGGGGAGCGGCACTTCGGGGCTGGGACGCCGGGAGAGGTGCGGGGGGGAGAGCGCGGGAGGGCTGCCCGGAGCTCTGGCTGCTGCTCGGCGCTGGGGGCAAGCGGCTCTGGAGCCGGCCCGGGCCGGGGGCTGCGGGTCCGTGCAGCCGCTGGTGAAGGGGTGCCAGGGCTTTGGGTGCCCGGCCGGGAGGGCTGGCGGCTGGCACAGCGCGGCTGCGGGGACTCGGAGGAGCTCTGCCCGGGGCTCTGCGCTGCCCGGGGAGTCTCTGCTGCCTTCCCGCAGCTCCGCTGGCGCTTCCTCCGTGTTCGGAAGCTGCGGGAATTTTCTGGTTGGGAATCACTGCTCGAGTCGAGCATCCTCTTAACCGGCCAGAGAGATATCGGCTTGGGACTGGAGCACGGAGAGAGCTCCTGGGAGCGTTCCGGGTCGGTGCTGGGCACAGGGGGATCTGGCACGGTGACAGGAGCCTCGGCTAAAAGAGCAAAGAAGAAACAGAGTCACCTCCGTGTCTGCAGCTCGGGAGCACCCCAACCCCCGGGGCACCCCGTTGCCCCCCAGCCCCGCAGCAGCCCTTTGCAGCCGCTGTTCCATCAAAGCTCATCCAGCCCCGAGGAAAAGAGCGGGCACAGGCGCCGGGCCGGTCCCACAGCCGGCGCCCCGGACAGTGCCTGCGCTGTCCTGGCAGACGGGGTCTGCAGAAGCACCGCTCCGCTGCCAGGACCGCGCCTGGCACGGAGGATGGGGAGGAAGAGCTCAGCCCTGCTCGGAGCCGGCTGAGGCTCCATCCCGGCTGGCTCAGGCAAGGGAACCAGGGAGGAGTAACGAGACGGGAGAAACGCGGCTCAGAGCTGCTGCTTTGGGCTCCTGGGGTAGGGACAGCCCTCCCGTGGGAGCTGCCTCGCACACACGAGCTGAGCTCCCCCGGAGCCCAGGGCTGCTCCCGGCTCCTGCCCGAGGTGCTGCCGAGCTCGGATCGCTCTGCACAGCGAGGGCGGAGCCACGCCGGGCACGACCCCTGGGGACACCGGGGGACACGCCCGTTCTCTGCCCCGTGCCCACCGCGGCCAGGAGCTGTGTCCCACCGCAGGCTCCTCCAGCCCCCATCGAGACACAGAAGAGAGGCCAATCCCCACTGTCCCCATCCCAAATCCTCACCTGCACAGCTCAGCTGCTTTCCTGGGGCTGGAGCAACCTTGCTGGGCTCTGCGGGGCTACGGGGAGGTGCAGCTTCCTCCAGCCCTGTGGGCTCCTCCAGCCCTATGAACTCTGCCAGCCCTATGAACTCCTCCGTCCCTGTGGACTCCTCCAGCCCTTTGGGCTCCTCCAGCCCTATGAACTCCTCCAGCCTTGTGGAGTCCTCCAGCCCTTTGGGCTCCTCCAACCCTATGAACTCTGCCAGCCCTACGAACTCCTCCATCCCTGTGGATTCCTCCATCCTTTTGGGCTCCTCCATCCCTTTGGGCTCCTCCAGCCCTATGAACTCTGCCAGCCCTATGAACTCCTCCATCCCTGTGGGTTCCTCCAGCCCTGTGGACTCCTCCAGCCCTATGAATTCCTCCAGCCCTATAAACTCCTCCAGGCCTATGAACTCCTCCAGCCCTGTGAACTCCTCCAGCCCTGTGAACCCCTCCATTCCTGTGGCTTCCTCCAGCCCTGTGGACTCCTCCAGCCCCTTGGGCTCCTCCAGCCCTATAAACTCCTCCAGGCCTATGAACTCCTCCAGCCCTGTGAACTCCTCCAGCCCTGTGAACTCCTCCATTCCTGTGGCTTCCTCCAGCCCTGTGGACTCCTCCAGCCCTATGAACTCTGCCAGCCCTATGAACTCCTCCATCCCTGTGGGTTCCTCCAGCCCTGTGGACTCCTCCAGCCCTATGAATTCCTCCAGCCCTATAAACTCCTCCAGGCCTATGAACTCCTCCAGCCCTGTGAACTCCTCCATTCCTGTGGCTTCCTCCAGCCCTGTGGACTCCTCCAGCCCCTTGGGCTCCTCCAGCCCTCTGGGCTCCTCCAGCCCCTTGGGCTCCTCCATCCCTCTGGGCTCCTCCAGCTCTCTGGACTCCTTCAGCCCTTTGGGCTCCTCCACTTCCTTTGTCTTCACAGTAATTTCATCAGGGCAGAGGCTGTGAGTAGAGATTTAGGGTAAGAGTGTCAAACTTGGAACGTGGGACATTCCCAAGCTGTAAGTCCCCTCCTGGAGAGCCTGAGCTGTGAGGTGTGTGTGCACCTGTGGGTGACAAGGGACCCAGGGACAGGCCAGCATCTCCAAGCTCAGCCCTGGTCCCACATCCATGCAACCCAGTCTGCCCAGGCCGAAAGGAGGCAGTGGGGCACGGGGAGGACACAAGGACACTCACTTCTGCTGCTGGTCCTGCAGGTCCTGCTGAAGGGGACTTGGTGTCCTGGCCTGGAGCTGCAGATCGGGCAGGGAGTCTGTTCTGGAGCTGCAGGGAGACGTCCCTGTGTCCTGCGAGGACTGGGGTGAGGCAGTGGTTAAACACAACGGTGCAGCAGGACCCATCTCCGGGGCTGGGGCAGGGCAGCTCCTCAGCCTCCCCCAGGCTCCAGAGCCCCCGGGTGGCCGCAGGGGACACGATCTGTGCCCAGAGACCTGCTGCCATGGGCAAAAGCCCTGCGGGGTCTGGGCTGAGCGGCTTTAGCAGCAGAGCAGGCACACGCTGCTTCAGCTCCGTCGGCAGCTCCTGCCCGCAGCGCGCCCCCGGGCTGGGAGATTCCCACGGGACACGGAGGCACCCACGGATGCACCCACCGCGACCCTGCCGCGCAGCCGGCAGCTCCCGAGCCCCGGCAGAGCCTCCCGGTGCTCACCGGCAGCAGGATGTGCCTGGCCCGGCTGGCGAAGCGCAGCGTGCTGTAGGTGTCGGGGCCGGCGGGCGCCGCGGGGCTCACGGCCGCGATCACGGTGCTGCGGAAGCTGCCGACCAGCGAGTCCTTCAGCAGCAGCGTCAGCTTGCTGTCCCGGAACGGCACGTGGCTCTGCCCGCCCTGTCCCGGGACAGCGAGGCTCCGCTCAGCTCCGGGCCTGGGGAAACCCTCCCGGAGCCGTCCCGGGGAGCCAGACTCACCTTGGCTCCGGCCAGAGCACGGACGACGCTTTTGAAGGCCAGCAGCGAGCGGTTGATGCTGGTGCCCTCCCACAGCCCCTCTCCCCGGCCCGGCGTTTCCCAGGCTCGCTCCGAGCCCGCCAGGTCGATGAAGCTGAGCTTGGCCACCCGCAGGTCCCCGCCGGGGTCCCGCTGCTTCACCTGGATCTGCGGGGACAGAGGGGGCTGAGGCTGGCTCCACACGGGAGCTCTGGGGCACAGGGCTCTGTGCGTTCAGGGCACGAGCCAGGGAATCCTCTGGGGAGATGAGCAGGAGGAGGAGAGGAGCCTGGCACGGGACGATGAGCCAAACACCTGGTGGTGACACAAGGAGCAGAGCCAGGGAAGGGTCTGGCAGGGAGGGACAGCTATGGGAACAATCAGCAGCTCCCACACTCGATGATAGAGAGAGTATGGCTGGGCAGTCCTCAGAGGGACTGGAAAAGCATGCAGACACCTGGGCTGCTCCCCTGCCAGCAGCAAGGGGCTGAAGTGACAGCCAGAGCCTCCGTGTGCCCAGGCAGCCGTGACAGCCCTGGAATTGGGGAAGGGCCTGGCTGGGACTGAAACCCTCGGGCAGCTTTGCACCCAGACAGCAGAGAGCACACGAACAGAGCCCCAGGGGAGCAACGTTCCCAGCTCAGGGCGAGGGGACAGCCCTGAGGGGGACGCTGGTGCTGGCACAGTGTGCAGGTGTGCTTCCAGCCCCGCTGGCAGCAGCAGTGGGGCGAGCCCAGAGGCAGCAGCCCTCACCTGGAAGATGGCGTGGGAGCGGGAGGAGGCGGCGTTGGCCTTGGTGGCACGCTGTGCCCGGTTCTTGTTGCCTTTGGCCAACATGTCCAGGAGCTGCTCTGGAGAGGTGGGCTGGGGGAGAGCGGGCAGGGGCTGCATCAGCAGCTGGGCACGGCAGCCGGGCACCGCGGGGCCGAGCAGCCCCGGGCAGTGCGGCCGAGGCTCCCGGCAGCTCAGGGCCACCTCTGCTGCCAGCCAGAGCCTGGAGGCACCTGGGACCTCCCCAGCCCTCCCAGCTGCTCTCAGCACCGGTGCAGATGAGTCTGTCCCAGCCCTTGTGCCTTTCTTGTGCCCAGACCTGGTGGAAGGAGAGGCCCTGTGCCACGGCTCCTTTCCCAGGCTGCTCCCAGACGTTCAGAGGACCCTGGGGCTTCAGCAGGTCGTAGACACGCTCTTTGTACACCTGGAGCAGGAAATCGACGTCAGGCTGAGGTCTGATTCTCTAGGAGAAGAGCTGGGTACCCCTGCAGGATCTGGCACAGCCAGGGGCTCCCCCTGACCCCACCTCTGGGACCTCAGCTGATGGGGTTCACAAGGAAGAGCTAGGTCCCAGAGTTCTGCTGGGACGTTCCCACAACCCTGCTCCTCTCCAGCCCTTCCACCAGGAAGCCCTCACTGCTCTGTGGAGCACAGCAAGGGCGAGAAAAGCCCCCAGCTCCAGCTGGCAGGAAGCAGCAGCAACAGTTCTCTCCACCCAGTGGGTGACCCTGCTCCCGGTCAGGCTGCCCTGCCAAGCCCAGGCACAGCAGAGGACACTGCAGGAACCCGGAGTGTGGCTCTGGATCAACCCCAAATCTCTTCCCTGGGGACCCCGAGGAAGGAGGGAACACGCAGGGCCACAGCAAACCTGCAGGTAGGAGACCAGGACCTCCCAGCTCTTGTCCTTCATGGCCTCGAGCCTCTTGTAGAGCTCCACCGTGGCCAGGTGCACAATGCCAGGAGTGCTCTTGGAGCCCATCATGGTGTGGGTCTTCCCAACCCCTGAAGCACCGTAGGCAAACACTGGAAGGAGAAGGGGAGAGTGGTGAAATGATCTATCAGTACTCACCTGGTGCAGCAGAAGGGTCCAAAGAGGAGAGGAGAGGAGAGGAGAGGAGAGGAGAGGAGCTTCCCACACAGATAAGACAGAAGGTAAAACTCATAACCTTCCCCACTGCTCCTCAGGGCAATTTTTCTCTCTGTTTTCAGCCTCTCTAATGCAGCAGGGACAGAAGGAGTCCCCTGATGAGCACTGCTCCCATGCTCAGCTCACCTCTGACCCTCTCCCCACGAGGCATTTCTGCTTGGTCTCTTTTACCCCCATCTTCCAGCACCTCCTCTGAAGCCTCCCCATCAGGGTGGGACACTGATCTGGAGCCTCAGCCCTCCTCCCGAGGGCAGCACTCAGTGCTGGGCCTGGGGACAGGGGCAGCCCTTCAGCCCTTTAGATAGAATGTACATAGTATAGAATAATAAAGTAATTATTTAGCCTTCTGATGGTGGAGTCAGATGCATCGTTTTCTCTCCCCTTCGTCGGGGGTCACCCGTGCATCGATATGGAACCAACACCCTTCAGGCTGTGTGGTCGTGGGTTGCTGCTGTGTCACCCCATTCCCAGAGACACGTGAGGGCTCCCAAATTAAATCCAGGGCTCCGCTGAGCCCACCCAGCCTGGGAGGGGATGGGGCAGGAGCTCCTGCACGGATCGGGGCTGTGTGCCAGGACTTACCGGAGCAGTTGTAGCCAGCGAGGAGGGTGTCCAGCAGAGGCAGCGTGGTGTGCTGGAACACCTCCTCCTGCGTGGCCCTCTCGTCAAAAACGCGGTCGAACTCGAACTCGAGGTTCCTGCGGCGGCGGCGGGGGCTGGGTTTCTCTCCCCTTCGTCGGGGTCACCCGTGCATCGATATGGAACCAACACCCTTCAGGCTGTGTGGTTTTGGGTTGCTGCTGTGTCACCCCATTCCCAGAGACGCGTGAGGGCTCCCACATTAAATCCAGGGCTCCGCTGAGCCCACCCAGCCTGGGAGGGGATGGGGCAGGAGCTCCTGCACGGATCGGGGCTGTGTGCCAGGACTTACCGGAGCAGTTGTAGCCAGCGAGGAGGGTGTCCAGCAGAGGCAGCGTGGTGTGCTGGAACACCTCCTCCTGCGTGGCCCTCTCGTCAAAAACGCGGTCGAACTCGAACTCGAGGTTCCTGCGGCGGCGGCGGGGGCTGCGGCCGGGCGGTGTGGTGCCTCCGGTGCCTCCGGGGCCGCCGGGCTCCTCGGAGCTGAACAGCACCGCGTGCTCGCTCAGGACGTGCAGGATGGCGGCTGCAGCTCGCTCCCGGGGGTTGGGGGGCCTCACACGCAGCACCACGGTCACGGAGCCCTCCTGGGGCGGGGGCTCTGCCCCGCAACAGGCACCTGGGGCTGCGGCGTCGGGCTGCTCGGGGACAGCGCTCCCGATCCACTGATCCGGGTCCTCTTGTGCTCTGGGGGGATAGGATCAGCTGGAGGGTGCACAGGGGGACAGAGATCCCCAGGCTGGGCGAGGTCTCAGAGCCTTCCCCCCTCCCCGGGGTCTGTGCCCACCCCCTCCCTGTGCCAATCCCGCCCGGTGCCCCTTTGGAGCCCCCTGAGCCTGAACCCTCTTCAGGCTCCCACAGCCTCCCCCAAAACCTTGGCCCCTCTTCAGGTCTCTTTGGCCCTAGAAACCCCTTCATGCTCCTACTGCTCCCCCAGACCCCCACAGACTCCCCAAAGACCCTAAATCCCTTGGAGACACAGCCCCCTCACACAGCCTCCCCAAGGGTCCCAACATCCCACTTCCAGCCTCCCCACATTTTGGGCCCCACAGCTCCTCTCACGACAGAATCACAGAATCACAGAATAATGAGGTTGGAAGAGACCTCTAAGATCATCGAGCCCCACCTATGCCCTAACACCTCAACCAGACTATAGCACCAAGTCCAGTCTTTTTTTGAACACATCCAGAGATGGTGATTCTACCTCCTCCCTGCGAAGAGCATTCCAGTACTTTATCACCCTTTTGCCCCCCTCATCACTCCTTAGGTCCCCTCCCACAGCCCGGCTCCCTCCCCTGCAGTCCCCCGTGTCCCTGTCCCGCCCTCCGCACCCTCCGGAACTGACCCGGCCAGCGCGTCCCCCGACATCGCCGTGCGAGGCTCGAGGCTCAGCCTCGGGCACCGAGAGCGGCCTCCGCCTGCGCCGGGCGCGGAGCAGCGAGCGGAGCGGGGCCAGGGACGGCCCGGCCGTTGTCACCCGGGCTCCGCCGGTGCCTGGCAGCCCTGGAACGTTGTGGCTGTGCTGGTGGCCATGGAGCCGTGCTGGGAACAACGGAGCCCCCGGGGATTCATTACCGGGGCCCACGCGTCACTGAGGGGTTTGGGCTGGACGGACCCCGAGAGGAGATCTGGTTACAGCTCCGCAGGGGCAGCGTTCCCCTCTCACCCTCCTCTGGCCACTCCTGCTGCTGCAGCCCAGGAGTGTTTAGCGCTCGCTGTTGGCTCGGGTGCAGCTTTTCCCCCACCGGAACCCCCCAGTTCTCTGCAGGGAGCTCTCAGCTCTTCTCCCACTCTGTGCTGGTGCCTGGGACTGTCCCTGGGCACGTGCAGCCCCTTCCCTTGGCTTTATTGAGCTTCACCGTGTTCTCTTGGTCCCACTTCTCGAGCTTGTCCAGGTGCCCCTGGATGTCACCTGCACCGCAGCTTCGTGTCACCTTTGTGAACACACTGAGGGTGGCCTTGAGCCACTGTCTGTGTCAGTGAGGGACTGCGGAGCCCCGGTGCCTCGCAGGGACACCCTGGTCACCGGCCCAGCCTCCCCAGGACAGGGGGACGCTGCCCACAGCCCTTTGGCTGCAGCTCCTCCCCAGCCCTCACAGCTGTGCCCCCCGGCTCGGGGATGAGGGTGTCCTGTGGCACCGTGGGCTGGGTTTTGAAGGGGGTGAAGGAAGCTGCAGGCAGAGGGTGCAGCTGTGGATTAGGGAGGGGAGGGATGGAGCCACCCCCGGGGTGTGTGTCCCCCGCAGGGTCCCCACCAGCCCGTCTCTCATGACCCAGCAGCAGCAGCAGAGCCGGCTCCAGGCTGGGGGTGCAGCCCCCAAAAGCGGGGCAGGATTTGGGTGTCTGGGGATGTTGCTCTGTCACAGTTTGGGGTGTGTGATGAGTCCCTCGTGTTGAGGAGCACATTTGGTGCAGAAAGCTGGCGGGGCAGCTGCCCTGGGGGCTGCAGGGTGAGCTCTGTGGGGAAAACGGCCAGAGCCCCCAGCACGGGGCCAGGAGCTGGCACTGACCCAAAGGGCCAGGGCCCTGCAGTGCCAGGCTGGTAACCGGGCACTCGGACACAGCAGGAGAGGATGGCTCGGCAGGAAAACCCCACTGCCAGGAGGGGATGGAAACCTGGGAGGTTCTTTGTGGGGTCCCTCCCCAGAGGCTCCATCTCAAGCTGTTACTGAGCTGCTGCAGCACAATAAAATTCCTTAAAGGAAGCAGAGCCTGGCGCTGCTCTCTGGGAGCCCTGGGGCTGAGCTGGAGAGGAAACCAGGGTGGGGTGTGGGGAGCCAACAGGGCCCCTTGGCCCCAGTGCCAGTCTGGGGTGGGAGTGCAGCTGCCAGAGCAGCCCCAGGATGGATGGCAGGGAAGTTTCCTGAACAGTTTCTGACCCAGATGGGACCCCAGGTCACCTTCCTTCTCCAAACATCCAACTGCCAGGACCAGGTGACTGACCCAGTATGTTAATACATAGGGATCAACTCTTTTTTGTGATTTTATATTGGTAATCCTTTCTGGCCTATGGCAACCCTGTTGACCTTAATTTTGTTGTTTGGTACCTGCAATAATAACGTGTGTCAGGGCAGTGACAGTTTTCCCTTTGAGTATTTTAGCAGGAATGCCCCATTAAAATCAAGGGAGGAATTCCTGTTGAGGAATCTCTGGAGCTGCTGCTGTGAAGGGGCTTCAGTGCCAGCAGTGCCAGTCTGGAGGGGCAGGAATGTGACTACCAGAGGGGCTCTGGAATGGATGGATGGATGGATGGATGGATGGATGGATGGATGGATGGATGGATGGCCAGAAAGTTTCCTGGACAATTGCTGACCATGTGGGACCCCAGCCCACCTTCCTTCTGCAAGCACCCAACTGCTGATGCTGGCTGAGTTCACCTGGGATGCTTGCAGCAGGGAGGAAACAGAGGGAGAGTGTTGGCATTTCCTGAGCAGATTCCCCATCAGTTCTAAGAGCGGCTCTGTGTCTCTGCGTGGTGCAGCATTCTGGTGCAGTTACTGCAGTGGATCGGGAGCGGGGCACTGCACGCACTCAGTGCACCCGGCCCCGGCCCCGGCCCCGGCCCCGGATTCTGGTGCAGTTACTGCAGTGGATCGGGAGCGGGGCCAGGGAGCAGGCTCTGAGCCGGGCTGGGACACAGCGAGCCCGGAGTCCTTGAACCATTTTGGAGGATGCAGTGGGAGATGTTTACAGTCCTGGGCTGTACCGTGTGCTGGACACTGTGTTTAGTGCGCGGTGATTCCTCTCCACGGCAGATCTCCCGTGCAGCTGCCAGGCCGCCCGTGCCGGGCCGCCGGGCACAAATCCCGGGAAGGAGCCGCTCCCTCGGGAATGCCGCGGTGCCCACGGAGCCTCCAGGGACGCGGATCGGGGCGATCCGCGGGGAGAGGCGCCCCGGCTCCAAGCCCCGGCCCCCGGCCCCGGCCCCCGGCCCCGGCCCCGGCCCCTCACGCTCCAGGCGGGTTCCCGCCACGGCGCTGCCTTTAAATTGCCCGCGAGGCCCCGCCCTGCTCCCTAATTGGCTCCGCGCCGCTTTCCGGCTCCCATTGGCTGCGTGCCGCGTGGTGCCTCATGGGGGTTGTAGTCCCGAGCCCCGCGCGCTGCGCCATGGGCGCTGCGCTCGTCGCCGCCTGCGCCCCCTGGCGGCGGCAGCAGCAGCGGCTCCGAGCCCGGCGGCGGCGGAGCGGGGACGGTGCCGGGGGTCCCGGGGGTCCTGGAAGGTCCCAGGGAGCCTTGGGAGGTTCCGGAGGGTCCGGGAGGGTCCCCTGATTGCGCTTCGGCAGAACCGTTCTCGAGGACCTTCTGCTCGAAGCTGCGATCCAGCCCGGCCCCGCCACCGCCTCCAGCCGGGATCGGCGCTGGGGGACAGCGGCGGGACCCGCCGGGGCTTGGGACACGCACAGAGCTGGGGGAGGGAGCACACCTGGCACACACACACACACCGGGAACACAGCATCTGGAATAGACACACATCTGGAATACACACACTCACCTGAGGACACACACACCCCCGTAACACACACACCTGAGGGACACACACACACACACACACCTGGGGACACCGACACACACCTGGGGACATGAACACTCATTGTCGGGGACACACACACCCCTAGGACACACACACACGGCCAGGAGGACACCCAGCCCGTCCTGCCCCACGGCCACTCCGTGTCCCAGGGCCCCGATCCCACCAGAGCCCCGGTCACCCGCTGTCACCTCTCACTGGACCGTGTCCTGCCCGTGCCGGGGCAGCGGTGACGGGCGCGTGCCCGAGGGTCCCGGTGGCTCTGTGTGTCCCTCCCCGAGCAGTGGCAATGCTGTTACTCAGGGGACAGCCCCTCTTGGGGCCAGCTGGGCTCTGGGGACAGGGCCATGGTCAGGGTGGCACCCCAAGCGGCCCCGTGACGGCGGGGCAGGGACAGGGGCAGGGACAGGGAGCCCCTCGTGCCTGGGCTGCTTTGATGGTGGTGGCAGAAAGGCCCCGTCCCCGGGCTGGGGACACTGGGGACACACACAGAGACGGGGAGAGATGACAGCTCTGCTTTACCATGTTGTCACCAGGCGGGGGGGGCGGCACGGCGGCTCCCCCCGGCCCAGCACAGCCCCCCGGCCCGGGACACGGCGCGTCGGTACAGCCGGACCCCCGAGACCCCCCGGGACCCCCGGCAGCGCCCCAGGGCGGGCAGAGAGCGGCGGCGGGACAAGGGGGGCACAGCCGGGCATAGGGGTGCCGTGGGGCAGCGCGGGGGGCACCCCCAGCCTCTTGCCACCCCCAGCCCTCTGCAGCCCCAAGCCCTGGAGCGGCAGCCCTCGTGTGAGCTGACGGGAGAGGGGGGCTCGGGGCACCGGAGGGGCGCGGGGAGGGGGATCCGCGGGCCGGACGGCGCGGGGGGTGCCGTGGGGCTGGGCAGGAGCGGGGGGAGCTGGGGGGCAGCAGGGAACCGAGCCGCGGCCCGGGGACGCCGTGGGGCTGGGGGTCACTGCGGGGGCGGCCCGCGGGGCTGGGGATGCGGGGGCGCCGCGGCGGCTCCGGGCTCAGTCCGAGTAGATGATGAAGCCGGAGAAGGTGCTGTACTTGTTGTTGTTGCCGCCGTGGGCTTTGCCCCCGTCCAGCTTGATGAAGACCTCGTCCCCCGCGTCCAGGTGCAGGATGACGCTGTTGCTGGCGTAGTCGTAGTTCTGGTCGGCGTCCTGCGCGATGGCGCTGGCACGGACCTGCCCAGGGGACACGCGGGACCGGCTCAGGGCGCGCCTCGGCCGCGGATCCCGCGGGACGCGCCGGGTCCCGCCTCACACGCGTCAGACCCACCCGCCCCGGGGCAGCGGGGGTGCCCGGTCCCGCCGCGGGGCAGCGGGTCCCGGGTGGGAGCGGCCCCTGAGCACCGCCCGGAGCCCCCCCGGCCCGGCGGGCACCGATACGGGACCGCGGCTCTGCCTCTGACGGGAACTGTGGCACAGCGTGTGACCGCGGCTCTGGGTTCAGGGGCAGGACTGCAGCCCAGGCACAGCACCCCAGCGTGGGACAGGACCACAGCTCTGCCACGGAACCCCAAACCCAGGTTTGGATACAGGACCGTGGGTCAGACCCGGAACCCCAAATCCAGGTTTGGATACAGGACCGTGGGTCAGACACAGAACCCCAAACCCAGGTTTGGATACAGGACCGTGGGTCAGACACAGAACCCCAAACCCAGGTTTGGATACAGGACCGTGGGACTCTGGGTCGGACACAGCACCACAGCTCCACATGGCACCACGGCTCTCCCACAGGACTCTCACTCCGGATTTGGATGCAGGACCCAGCTCAGGCACAGGACCCCATGTCTGGGTGTGGATGCAGGGCCATGCCCGGGACACAGGACCGA